TATGAGGTCAAAACCTGAAAGCATGCAGTAAACATATGTGAGGTAATGGACACGGTATTAGTAAACAACAATCTATAAAACATTTCCATGATGAAAATTAAGAACCTAAAAAACATGCTTTTTTCTTTATGTTTAACATATTAGATGCGTAGGCATATAGAGTGGAATCCGGACAACTTTAACACGGAAAAAACACAATTAGCAATGCCTTACATTTGTTTCTGCAAAGAGACGATTACACTAAAGCCATCTGTGGGTTCTCCAATCAGATACCTTGGTTTATTAACGAGGTAAGGCACCATAGAGGAGCAAAAATGCTGCATAAAAGAAGATTCACTGCTGCCATGACCTTACATGAGCCAGATATGAATAAATAATAAAATAAAATAATCAGATTGAAAGATAATTTAACAACATGGACTTCAGCGTGTGGGTTTAGAGATTCTCAGCGAGAGCAAAATGGAAGGTGATCATCCATCTCACTGAGGCCCTGAATTTTTTTTTTTGTGGACATTTTAAAAACAACAAAAGCAACATAGAACATGTGTGTAAAAACTAAACACAATGTTTTGAACCCCATTTGCCAAATTAACCCTCTATAGGGAAAGTTACCGTATTTGATCCCTTGAATACCCCTTACAAATGGAGTCAAGTAAAGTTAAAGAGTTAATAAGCCTAGTTAACAAGTGTAATAGCCAGTATCAGCATTAATGCCTCTAAGGTTATGTTGGACCAAAAAAAAAATAAAAGAAGTGCTTTTATTCACTCTTTCATTCAGTTTTTCTTGAATTTCCTCTAAGAAGCCCTTTGTTATTTTTCTTAATATATACGGGCAAGTTGGTCTTTCTTATTAGATCACTTTTGCCTTCAAAATATCCATATTTTTTGAAAGTTACAAAGGTAATAAGGTCTTGAGACTTGAAATTTAGATTTTTAAAGTATTTCACTGAATGCCCTATAAAGGTGAGACAGCCTGCTGTCACACTCTGAAGCTGTGTGGTAACTTTTTTTTTACATTTTTCATTTTCAAAATCAGTTGCACATTACATATATTTTCATTAGCCTGACTTTAAGTTAACTTTTTGCAGTGCACACATTTAGTTAACTTTATTTGTCAGGTTGTTTTTTTTGTCAAGATGCAATTGATTAATTTCTTCTTTGAGTTGTCAATTTCCTTGGGATCTGCTGGTGTACTAGCCTCGTGAGACCATCCTGATCTCGCAAGCTTTCAAGATTTCACTCGCTAATCAGTCTGGAGACTCTCC